ATTTTTTCATTAAAAAAATTAAATATATATTATATATCTTCAATCCTGGGTATTTTTTAAAGGAATTGATCCTTGCTATTATTTTCCTATTATTGTTCTACAAATTTTTAAAAAAAATTTGTTTCGATATGATGAAGGGTTTGTAGAAAAGTGTACAGAAAGGTGAAAAACTTCTCAGCAAAAGTAATTTTTTGATTTTCATTTGCCGCCCAATTCACCCCCTAAAAACGTTGCACATCTCTACATCGTGTAGTAGGGAGTTCATATAGATGTTTTAGTTGGGAAAGAATTTCTTGAAAGAGGTTTAGAAATAGGTGAAAGAATTGAATAAATAATACTTCATACATAACACTACAAGGTACGAAGAGACTTAAGTTCATCAAACCTTAATACGAATAATTTTTTATTCACAACTTTCCAAAATTTATGTAAAAAACTTATATAGCTTGTAATCTCATGGGACCAATTGCATAAATGTTGTAGTTTAATAAAATAAAATTGAATATAGGATGTTTTTGGTCCGAAAATCGGTCGCTAACTCCTTAATACAATCCTCCATATTGTTAATTTAACTTAAATTAGTTAAAATAGTTTTTTTTAAGTATGATTGGAAATAAAAGAAGAAGAATAAGAGAGGAAATTGGAAAAAAGTGAATTTATACAATGATTTTTTCTACATCCTGCATGTATTTGTTAAATTTAAACAATGTTTGTAAATCCCGGTCCCTGAAGATTATCTCAATGAAAATCGAACCATTGGCACGATGAAGAAAATGTTTTTCTGAAACCTACATCACACCAGACCGCANATATATATATATATATATATATGTTTATCTATCACTATTTACATTTCTCCTTCTCTTCATTTTTGCACTTGTACTTTGTTTTGCTCTCTGTCAGGATAAACTACAATTATCACTAATAATAAAATTAGTAATAGAACTCTTCTTCGTTAATAAAATTTTATTTACTTATGTACATATCTATCTTTATCTCTCTATCTATCCATTTTTATCTCTCTCTATCTGACTATTTTTATCTCTCTATCCATCTATCTTTATCTCTCACTAGCTACAGATTTTATCTCTATCTATCTACCTTTATCTCTCTCTATCTCTCTATTTTTATCTCTCTCTCTATCAATCTATTTTTATCTCTATCTATCTATTTTAATCTCTACCTATCTATCTATCTTTATCACTCTATCGCTCTATCTATCTTTATTTATTTATCTCTATCTACCTTTCACATTCTCTTTTTTTGTACATGCATTTTTTTTGCTCTCTATCATGATAAACTATAGTTATAATAAATAATAAGATTAGTTCTATGTCTCTCTTCATTAATAAAATTTTATTTTCTCTCTCTCTCTCTCTCTCTAACTAACTAACTATCTATCTCTCTTGTTGTACCTTCCTTCTTCTCTAATTTCTGTACCAGGATAAACTACAGTTATAACTAATACCAGCATTAGTTCTAATGTGTGGTGATTAGTGACCGTTAATCGATAATTATTCAGAAATCGTGAGATGCGGTCTGGTGTGATGTAGGTTTCAGAAAAACATTTTCTTTATCATGCCAACGTTTCAATCTTTATTGAGATCATCTTCAGGGCTCAAAGTGTTTGTCTTCTGTGTAATTGTGCCATTCTTGCGTGTCGTGTTGAGAGTGCGCAAGAAATGCACAATTACACAGAAGACAAACTCTTTGAGCGCTGAAGTTGATCTCAATAAAGATCGAAACGTTGGCACGATAAAGATAATGTTTTTCTGAAACCTACATCACACTAGACCGCATCTCACGATTTCTGAATAATTAGTTCTAATATTCCTCTGATTACTTCATTAATAAAATTTCATTTTACTATTTTTTCTAGATATTTGAAAAAGAATAGTTTCAAGATGAGAATTTAATTTAAAAAAAAGAACACTAGTAAAATTAAAAATCAGTAAGAACTGGTGGAATCAGACGAATTAATTAATTAAACGCCCTATAGATTTCTCTGTTTTTGTTTTTTATGTAGCCCATTTTACTTGTGATTTAATTTAAATAGATTTGGTGCTTTTACATAGATGTTTATTTATTTTGTAAGGGTTCAATGGCCCCGAATCCCACAGACTGGTGTGAATGCCCTTCTCTGTTTTTAAGCTTTTCACCGGTAGTAAATCATTTTCCCTGTCTTCATGGGTGTGCGTTTTTCGACATATTGGATACAAGACTCACCGTTTTACTTAACAAAGGCCATTTGTCGTTAACTAAGGGAACGAAAGGGTCTGAAACTGGCTGGAACTTAAAATCCTTCTAACTTGAAATCTTTTGTAAGCCTGAGATTTATAAAGGTTTTTTCCTTAATATTCTTTAAAAATTTATTGATAATGGTTTTTTTGTGATATAAAACTGAATTTTTCGCGGAACAATATACGGCTATCCTGTCATGGAGTATATAAAATAGTCAGTCGTGATTCGTTACAGTTGCGAGGATAAATACACGAGGAGAAGCGTTGATAGGTCTGAGAATGGGACCAGTTTTATCTTTTCCACCGGGGTTGGCGTAGATAATATACAGCGGATGTTCCGCACGTGCGAGCGATTAGTGGTTGGACGTTTGTCGCCAAACGCATTGTGCTTGCATACAAGTCAATAATGGACTCCTGTATTAACTCTTTTCCTAAGTAGCACACGCGTCTCTCTTCATTATTGCATACCACAAAAGCCACTCCCTATATGTGCCAATTATTAATTTATCCGTACAGCTGGTCTCGCCCTCGCTCGCCCCGGCCCTTTTGTCCCACACAATCAAAATGCTAACTAGAACCCACGGGAATAAAAGGGAGAGACACCTAATTTCGTACAGTCACCCTCGAATCGAGTAATATCTTTATCTGTGGGACTAGTCAACGCCATTAACACTACAAATATCCGATAGGTCGGCGGAACATTCGAACTAAATGTCGCCTTCCGTCTGCACACGTTTCCTCTTCCGCGACCAGAAGAACCGACCTACACACTGTTCGAATACCTATAGCTTTTCTCTTGAAATCATGACCTAACTAAAATGGCTAAAAATATATTCAAGTCCCATTTCTCTACTGTGAACCTGATCATGGGACTTTAAACCTTGACCTTAGCCCGAAACCTTTCTTTTCATTATCAACAATAATCTCATCCAGAACATTTTTTTTGCAACAGCAGAGGTCATATAAACCCTCAGGGTGCCGGTGTTTTTGAAAAAAAGCCCATTTATAAGTATGTATATGAATAAACTTTGTGTAATATACGCTCGATAGAAAGGCGCGGTAAAAGCAAAATACTTTCTCAAAGAACGTAAGTTTTATCCACAAATTGTTAATTTGCAAACCATTCGTTTTGAGTTACAAAAAGGTGGATAATTTTGATTTAAAATAAGCTCAAGAGACTAAGTAAAGTAATCTGCTTTCACCCTTGAAAAACTGGCTGCAATCAAAAATGAAGCTGAATGATTTATTTGTCTGGGTATTTCGCTTTTACAGATCCTTTTACTCTAGGATATTTGAGCTGTATAAATTCAGTGTTAACCAACTTTTTAAATAAAAAAGTCCTGATGGCACGACATCAGGGGTATAAGCAGGAAGAAGCAATACGCAGACTGCTTCCATTTCAGTCAATTTTCCCTGGTTCAAAGTAGTTTATTTTCTTATTAGCTTCATTCCGCTTCATTTTATTCGGACTGTTACTAACATTGTCAATTGAAAAAAGTTATTGTTTTCATATTTAAAATGAATCATTCGTTAACGTAAAAATTTTGCGCTTATGTGGACAGATTATTTATCTGGGTATCTTGTATTTACGGCTCCTTTCAGCTAGGATTTTTGAATTGTAAAAATTCAGTTGTGAACCAACTTTTTAAATAAAAAAAAGGGCCTGGTAAGATGGCATCAAATCAGGGTTATAAGCAGGGAGCGGCTTGTCCCCCACACTTTCCCTTACAGCCAGTTTTCCTTGGGTCTTTACGTCACTTTAGCTTATTTTCAATAAAAAAACGCCCATCTTTTTGTTATTTAAAACGAACGGTTTGCAAATTAACAATTTGTGTATAATTTGAACTGTTGTTTATCCAGCTATACACTAATATTTTCATTGATAAATGTTCTCGTTTTATTATTTAAAATTAATCATTCTTTAAAGAAAATTTTTTGTGGGTATGTAGACACGTTATTTGTCAGGGTGCTTTTACTCTAATATATCTGAAATGTATTTATTCAATTGTAACCTACTTTTCATATAAAAAATCCTGGTAAGGTGCACGATATCAGGGTTATAAGCGGGAGTGGCTTGTCCCCTACTCATTCCATTGCAGCTAGTTTTCATGGGTGAAAGCAGATTACTTTACTTAGTCTCTTGAGCTTATTTTAAATCAAAACTATCCACCTTTTTGTCACGCAAAACGAATAGTTTGCAAATTAACAATTTGTGGATAAATCGTACGTTCTTTGAGAGTATTTTGTTTTTACCGCGCCTTTCTATCGAGCTTGTATTACACAAAGTTTATTCAATAATTTTACCGTTATGAATGAAAGAAAAGTGTGCGCGAAGTTAAGGTTATAAGCAGGGAGAGGCATGTCGCCTAATCTTATTATTTCCGCAAATTTTCTCTTGGTCAAAGAAGGTTATTTTGCTCTTAGTTTCAAAATATTCGAGCTTTTTATATACAACTGTTCTTTAATTTGTCAGCATATATAATGTTTATATATATATTAACTAATTATATTATATTAACGTTAACATTGAATTTCTCTTTATATTTGGAAACACTTCAAACTTTTGGGCATGCATTTTCTTAAAGATCTTAATCTTTATAACGCAAAAAAAGTAATATTTGTTATGATTAGATATTACAGAAATCTTATTTGTTTTAACAAAAAAAATCTAAATTAAGACTCAAGAAAACTACTCTTATTGGTTAACAACAAAAAACATAAATGTATTTTTGTTACATTAATTAATTATTATATGGGTTGTTATAAATGTTTGAAAAAGGGGCTTTTGACGCTTGTCTGGGAGCACATTTCACCGATAGATTGAGACGGGCGTTGCAAAAATTCAAAAGCATCTTTCTTCCTGATCATGGGTCTATATTTCTCCCTTCGGCAATTATCATAAGCCGCCTGGATTTATTATTTATTAATATGATTAGTATCTATAATCTTAATAATACAAAGATGATTTGTCTTACTTTGTACTTCTTAAGTTTCTGCTTTGTAAGCAGCAGTTCGTCATTGACTTTTTCCAGCTCCTTTTCAACGTTGCTGACAAATTCTCTGAGTTCTAAACGTCTAAGGATCAAGACACGGCTATAGAAAACAATCGATCGATTTACCTTTGTTCTCCAGTTGGAGCTGGATGGTGGCATCGTAGGCCATTTTGTCGTATTTATCCGTCACGTTGTGCAACTGGATCTTCCTCTTTACTTTCATCTGGTAGCACCAGAGTTTCGCAGCTCTTGACGCATATTCCAACGCCTTCTCAGGTCGGACGCAGCACACAATTAACTGCAATAAATGTCAATTCTAAGAAATCATTTTTACATAAAGGTTTCTGAGGTGTGAAGACGTTAAAAGATTAAAATGAAATATTGTATAACGTGTAATAAATAAACAAATTACAAATAGCAGTTTAGTTTCTTTAGGGTGCAAAAGTTGGACATCTTAATTTTAAAACCAGGCTCAAAAAGAGCAGCTCGAAACTAGAACTAAAAGCTTTGGCATAGAGCTGGTATCTTACATCTCCCTACTTATAACCTTGACGCCATGCCATATGTTCTGTCATACCAGATAGCTGCTCTATTGAACTTTGGATGTAGTTTTGTTGGCTAAAAAGCGTCTTATAATGAAAATACACCGTCAAAGAATCGATGTGTTGATAAATTATAAATATGGAAATTATTTGTTTTAAGTATAAAAATCAGGAAATTTTTTATTAAAAAGCCTCAAGACACTGAAGGTAAAACACAAGGAGACAAGGAAAATTTAAAGAAAATAGAAGGCGTCTTGTCTCTCCCTGTTTATAACGTTGTCTTCCAGATCAAATAACTATTATCGCTTGTGTATAATTATGATATAGTAAAAAAGAGCATTACATTGAAAATACACTGCATAACAGTACATAGTTATGTTCCCAAATTATAAATGTGGAAATAATTCGTTTAAGTAATAAAAAAGTGGACTTTTTGATTAAATAACGGCACAAGACACACAAGGAAAATTTGCAGAAAATGGAAAAGTCCGGCGTCTTGCTTCTCCCAGTTTATAACCCTGGTGTCGCGTCACCTTTTCTTCCAGATGGTAAAACTAATGAAGTTTGTATATAACTAGATAGAGTAAAAATAGCCTTACAATGAAAATACAATGTCAAAGCATCGATTAAATTATAAACTTGGAAATGTTTTAAGTGACAAAAAAGGCTCCATTTTTCATTTAAATATCCTCATGCGAAAAGTAAAATACAAGGTACAAGGAAAATTTGCAGAAAAAGTAGCGATTCTGGCTTGTTGCCTCTCCCTGCTTATAACCTTGACGCCCGCCAAATAACTATTGACGCTAGTGTATAACATAGTTTGTTCCCAAATTATAAATGTGGAAATAATTCGTTTTAAGAAACGAAATAGCGGACTTTTTGATTTAAAAAAATGCTCAAGACACTAAAAGTAAAATAACCCGCTCTGACAAAACGAGAATTTTTGGAAAATGGAAGGTGTCAGCGAATTGCCTCTCCCTGTTTATACCTTGACGTAACGCCATATTTTCTGTTAAGTCTGGTAACTGTTCTATTTAACTTTATATACTATAGAGCGTTTTATAATGGAAACACACTCTCAAAGCACCGATTTGTCCATAAATTATAAATTTGGAAATTATTCGTTTTAAGTGATAAAATGGCGGCCATTTTTTCTTTTATTTAAAATAGCGTCAAGACGCTAAAGGTAAGATAACCTGCTCTGACATAAAGAGAATTTGTAAAAAATGGAAGATGTCAGCGACTTGCCTCTCCCTGCTTATAACCTTGACGTCGCGTCTTCTTTTCTTCCAGTGGCAAAACTAATGAAGTTTGTTTATAACTAAGGTAGAGTAAAAAGGGTCTTACAATCAAACTGCATTGCGTAAAAACAGATTGTTACGTTAGTAAGCTTAGGCATAGTTCTGATAAAGTTGTCCTTATGAAAAGTTATAATCTTTGTTTTATAAAATATGATAATATTAAAAAATATAGTGTTCTAAGGAATTGAAACTTCTTACATCAGAAGGGTTGGTGTTAAACTTAGAAACGTCGTTCTGCCTGTTGAGCACTTCGTCGCAAGACGGACACTTGACCTGGGACGAGTTTTTAGCCAGGGATCTTTCACCGTGATGTTTACAGAATACGTGCGAACATCTCGTAATCCAGCCGACTTTCGTTATTGGCGTGAGACATTCGTCGAAATTACAACACATAAATTCTTCCGTCATTGAGGATAAAAAAAAGGAACTTTTTTACCTTTGAGATTTGGCGGAAAGAAGGTTGCAACGCTGTTACCGTAACCTCCCCGATGTTTACAACTTATACATTTTCCCTTATCAGAAGAGATAACTGATAATACACGACGATATTTGTGATGTTTGATACGTGTGTTTTCCATTCGACACGGCACCGGTTTCGATTATTGCCAAATTTGCATAATTCCCAAACACCACGAGATTGATTTAACGATTTCAATATAAACTTAAGTATATTTTTTTTATTAAAAAGATGAACCAATTTTACTCATGGGACCTGTGGTTCCCCATCGCGATCAACATAGTTTTATCAGTTATTTTCTATTTTGTAACATATAGAATAATAATATCGGTCGGGCCGATGTTCATAAAGGCGAGACTTTTTGGAAGGGACTTGAACAAAAAGTCAGATGCGCTTATGTAAGTATAAATGGATGTACCTACCATTCGATGGATGAAAGAACTAATTAAATATATTGTAAAACAAGGTGAATGTGTGTTCTCATGCTTATAGTCTTACGTACCTTATAGGTTTGTTCTTATTAGTCATAAATAATTATAGTTAATATAGATCTGTGAAATCATTCTGGGTAAGATGCTAAACTGCACCCTGGTGGGACAGACTCCAAAGCTATGAAGGTAATCATTCTACTCTGTCTAAGAAACAGAAAACTCTGAAGTACGACCAAAGGAAGCCCAGGCTCGGTAAGATGAAGTGAACCGTACAGTCCCACGAGACGTAAACTCCAACACTAAATGACATAGTTCTTCAGGTCAAGAGGTTGAATGTAGGGCTAAAAAATAAAATAACATTGTTACTAAACCTCAAATAGCAACAATAAGACTGTCGAAACGTTCTTTATAAAACATTAACCGATCCTCTACCTTCCTACCATGTTAATCGTTGAAAGCAAAATTATTTTTTGTATATTTGGCCGGGTGAAAGTGAGCAACCATTGGCAGCTAGGATCAATTGAGAGTTGCTCTTTCTTCTTCTACTTTTAAAGAGGCTGATAGAGTATAGTTTATAAGGCTATCAGGGCTAAGATGGGCAGGCCATGTAGCAGAATCAACCCTAGTATTGTGGCTTAGATTTCCGACAAGGTGACATGTTTTCGCAAATCTTCTGTTCGTCATAAGCTTGGGAAAAGGATTTGGATTTATATACGCTCTAATCCACACATGTACATACATATATACGGATTGGACGACCAAGTCCTGAGAGGTTAAATGCCTGGGTAGACTCGTACCCCATCCCTAAAAGGTCCAGGACTTGGTCGGCTGGTCCTGCATAAATCTCTTGGACTATTCACAAACCCCAAGATTTTGGACCATTTTATCTCGGGGAGTGATTTAGTAATGTACTCAAATTCAAAGATTTCAAATCTAGACCTTGCATACCTATCACACTATGTGAGGTAGTGCCTTGCCGTTTCTTATTTTATTGCGCAAAAACGGCAAAAGGGGTCTGGTAGAATACCCATTATGGAGAGGTGTCTTCTCAGTGGGCAGTGGCCTGTCAGGATACCTATCAGCTTCCTAATTCCCTTCCTTGAGTTAGAGAATAGCCATTTTGATTCTGCTGGTTTGATCGCCTTAACAAACTCTTAGATTGCCTGTGTCCAGGGGTCAGATTCCATTCCTTAAGGAATTGTTTCATGCCCCAGTTTTTAATACTCTCTTTCACTATGCTCATAGAGTGAGGTAATACCGGTTGTGGCCCAACAAACGCAGTATTAGAGCCTTCTTTGGCCAGGATATCTGCCTTTTCATTGCCATGGTGTCCTTTATGTTCTGGTATCCAAATAAGGGTTACCTTGTTCTCAACCTGGAAGAGATCCTATTGATAAGATCTACAGTTTCCTCCACCAGTCTAGATATTGACAAATCTTTTTGTAATGACCTAAGACTAGCCTGACTGTCACAAAAAATTCTAATATCTTTTCCCTTGATTTTATTTTCCATAAGTGTTCTTCCAGAAAAACGGAGGTGTTATTGCCAAGAGGGGAGGAGATGCTGATACCTAATTTAGGTATATAGATTCCTCCACCGCTCCCTTTACCTTTGATAAGTGAATATGTACATACATACAAACGTATGCCGAGTTGAGCCTTTTCCGGCTTTTGCTATTTACAGAAAACTGCTGGCATACTTAAGAATCACCCACCCTGAGTATTGGCAGTCTGGGAGCAGACCTTGGTCTTATCTGTCCAGCCACAGAGGTTGGGATGCTGTCAAGAGCTAGGCCAATTCATTACCCAGCGCATACAGTTCCAAACCCATTCGTACTCACATTCATTTTTAAATACATTCACTATTTACATACCATTAAATCAGTTAGGGTGGTGGAGTACTAGCTATCCCTCCATCACCCTTAACACATATTATACAACAAATCTAATTAAGGGTCAAAGGGGTACTCGACATAAAGCATAGAACCTCTCACATCACGCTAATTCACTCTCAAAACAAGCTAGGTACACGCAAATATTATTATTACTATATACAACAGGATTGGAACATGGGAAAGCTTGGGAAAAACTCATTATTCGAGCAAATTTGTTTTGTTAACAATTGAATTAATTCTCGTAGTTGGATATCTGTATCTAAGGAGTCTGCTTGGTGGATCTCCAGTATGCAGAGCAATAATGCTGCCTGACAGTCATAAATTGACAAACTGGACAAATTAGGATTATATATATAAAAAAAAACTCCTTCAGCCATAACAATCATCTACAAACTGACCAGTTAGGCTAATGGTTTTTTCTTAATTTCTTAATTCTTCTTAAAAGTAGAAAATTTAACTCTTTTTTGTCGTATTTATTTTCAATAGAAGTAATCATTAGCGCTTCCAGGTTAATGTTTTAAATATTGTAAATTTTTTTCAATGATCCTTCTTAATGCACAAACCCTGAGCAATTTTGTTGAGCTTCTAATTTTTTGTAAATGAATGTGCTTTGCTGCCTTGTGTTTATACATTTACAATTATATATAAGTAAAGATATTAATAAAGCATTTAATTCTTCCTAAATGTGGAAAATCTAGCTATAAATACCAATAGAAAATATTCCCCGTAACTAAATTATTTAGAGTAGTACTCTAATTAAACACATGGATAAGAATTGTCACAAGAAAAAATATTTTTATATAATTATAACTAATTCAGTTACAAGTTTGATTACCTGTCATTCTAGATGTGTCTATCTAGGCATACATATATATATTTTTTTAAGAATAAATAAATGGAGTGAAAGTTTATTTTATGTACTTCAGCTCAAAAAGTCATCCTATGGAACTTGAAAGTAGTGGATTAAATGGACAAAATCAAGCATTAAAAGAAAAAAACAAACAGGGCAACCAGAGCGAGTTGCTAAACAGATTTTTATGACAATACATAGCCTAATGATTTAATTTTCCTATTGTTTAGGAAATTTTATTACCTGCATAACATAGCAAACAACTACCAAAACAAGAAAAAATAACGAATCAATTTATTTATTAAAACTGGACTAAAAAGTTGTCCAACTATTAATTGCTTGTGAAACATCGACTTTACAACACTAGTTTAATGGTTTTACCCACTGGTGTATTTATTAGTCTACTAATGTTCAAACGGAAGTCTAGAAACGAAGTTTGAACGACTTATTTATTAGTTTGAAAGTGTAGTCACACTAATAAATACATTCATTCTCAACATATGCAAAGAAACCAAGATGAATTATCTACTAAATATTATATACAGTAAAACAGCCATGTTGCCACTAAAAATCAGATCACGGACCCATATACTCGCTACCTTGCTCATGCACAATTCTCATATCGAGTGGCTTTCATGCTTATAAATACATTCACCCCATCACACTACACATTTACGCTAGTAAACACATTCCATCTCAATGAAATCAGGCCCTGATGACGAAAGGAATGTCTTTTGAAAGCTTATCAAAAAAGCAGAGCTTAAACGTTGTTCTTCACTTTTTACTTCATTTGGCTCCATCTCTTCTTTATTTAATAAGCTATTGCTTTAAAGAAAACAGTCATGCAAAAAAGTTCCTAAAAGGTGACATTGCTTCCCGTATACTCGGTCGTCCTAACATCTTTAATGTCCGCACCTAGCTTTCCGACCTTATTGCACGTTTTGATTCTCAAGATGAAAGCTAACGCACCTCCGCATACGACAGAAGTGTGTTACTGCTGCAGCATTGGTGTAGAGGCAGTTCAGCCCCGAGGGGCCAAGACAACCTTGCCCATTGGGGACGCTTGCCCATTCCGAATGGTCATTAAGCATCGAACTGTATGCCGCGCGCAAAGAGCTACCTAAGCTGAAATACATCAGCCTGGTCTCCTGTGCACTCCCTAGGTAGGGAAAACCACTCTACCTCCTTTTTTTGGTGTCACAAGCGAGACACACCTAAAAGATGACAACCAAAAACTACTGGTAACTAACCACAATCAAACCTACCAAATCTAAGACATATTACAATGATATTAGGACTGCTGACCTGACACTGCAGACTCTGGACTAGATCCAGAAAAGCAGAAACAAACCTGCGCAGATATTGCCAGGAAGAAGAAATACCAGATCGTGACCTCTGTTGGTGGTAAGGTCGATTTTTTCATCAGGGAAGTCCTTAAGCTTCATGAAGAATTGTAGATAATTATGGAGATGGACCATAGACTAATATTGACAATGGTGTACAAGATTGTAATGATGCCAGCTTTTGATAACCTAAACCTAACCTAGATTCTGCTTCTTCTTAAGCATTTGACATTTTCTCGACTTTAAATTTTTCAGAGTGATTCTTGGATTGCTTGCACCCACTGTTTAATAAATTCCCGGTTTAAAATTAACCTTAAAGCTATAAAAAAAGTTGTTGTATTAATTTCTTTTCCATAGAATGGTTTAGATATGAATTGTTTGGCAGTTAAATTACTTACAAGCATTCTTTTATTTATTCCTGTCATTCCCTGTGGCAAGGTTTTTAATTTTGAAGGTTATGGTTAAGATCAGTACTGTAAAGCCAGCTAGGCTATTGAACATGATCTCTATGATTTTATTATTGTATCTGATTAATTGGAATGCACATATTTCAATCAATTGTGCTTCTCTTTGGAAGGTATTAGTGTATAAGCCTAAAACTATGTTCTTTTCTTTAATTTAATCATTATTAATCATCTTGGTGTCTGTCACACTCGCTGAAGATGGTAAAGTGTGTCTGACAGACCCATTGAGAACAGTCAGACCAAGATGATTGGTCATGATCAAATCATCCAGCAGATCACAGGAGGAATTCTCGTATCTTTTAGGCATGTCACTATACCAATATGTATAATTATTCAGAAATCGTGAGATGCGGTCTGGTGTGATGTAGGTTTCAGAAGAACATTTTCTTTATTGTGCCAATGTTTCGATCTTTATTGAGATCATCTTCAGGGATCAAAGTGTTTGTCTTCTGTGTAATTGTGCCATTCTTGCGTATCGTGTTGAGAGGGCACTCTCAAACAAACACTTTGAGCCCTGAAGATGATCTCACTAAAGATCGAAACGTGACTCGATAAAGAAAATGTTTTTCTGAAACTTACATCACACCAGACCGCACCTCATGATTTCTGAATAACCAATATCAATTTTTTTTTCAAAATAAACTATTTTTGGGTTAGTTTAGTGGAAGAGTCTTTTCGTTTTGGTAAATTTTTGTATATCTAATCTCATTTAAGGATAAGATACAACAGTTTTTGTTTTTTTCATTTCACTTGTAGTGAATGAATTTTAGCATTGATACGTATTTATTTTTTATAACACTGTGTACATTTTTTGAAACATTAACCCACAATATTTTGCCAACATTTTACCGTATTTGAGTGATTTTTCAAGATTTAACTGTTCAAAGATTGGTCCAACAGTTGCCATTTTTTGGTATCATTCTCTCAAAATCTATTAAAAACTTTTTTTTGTTTCTTCTTAATATACTACAAATTGGTAACTAAAGGTTTATAAAAATAACGTAATTCTTGGCATAAATGTAAAGTTGAAGCAAAATTTGACTTTTTTTCATCAAAAAATGAAATATATATTATATATCTTCAATCCTGGGTATTTTTTAAAGGAATTGATCCTTGCTATTATTTTCCTATTATTGTTCTACAAATTAAAAAAAAAAATTGTTTCTATATGATGAAGGGTTTGTAGAAAAGTGTGTAGAAAGGTGAAAAACTTTTCAGTAGAAGTAATTTTTTGATAGAACTCAGAGTTTTTCATTTGCCGCCCAATTCACCCCCTAAAAACATTACACATCTCTTCATCGTGTAGTAGGGAGTTCATATAGATATTTTAGTTGGGAAAGAATTTCTTGAAAGACGTTTAGAAATAGGTAAAAGAATTGAATAAATAATACTTCATTATTACATAACACTACAAGGTACGAAGAGACGCAAGTTCATCAAACCTTAATACGAATAATTTTTTATTCACAACTTTCCAAAATTTATGTAAAAAAACCTCTATAGCTTGTAATCTCATGGGACCAATTGCATAAATGTTGTAGTTTAATAAAATAAATGTAAAAATAGAATTTTTTTGGTCCGAAAATCGGTCGCTAACTTCTTAATACAATCCTCCATATTGTTAATTTAAATTAAATTAGTTAAAATAGTTTTTTTAAGTATCATTGGAAATAAAAGAAGAAGAATAAGAGAAGAAAATTAGAAAAAAGTGAATTTATACAATGATTTTTTCCACATCCTACATGTATTTGTTAATTTTAAACAATGCTTGTAAATCCCGGGCCCTGAAGATGATCTCAATAAAGATCGAAACGTTGGCACGATAAAGAAAATATTTTTCTGAAACCTACATCACACCAGACCGCATCACACGATTTCTGAATAATTATCGATTAACGGTCACTAATCACCACACAATATGTATAATGTATATACGGATAATATAGTATATTTTGTTTTGTTTTCAGACCTGAAGCTCTAGGAGTTGTTTCAGGATGTATGTTCCTAATAATTATGTCTCTCTTCATTCCCTTCCCATTCGGCAGGGTGATTTTTCAAAATTCACATTTTCCCTATGATGAGGTGAACTATTAGATTTGCTTTTTGCATTTAGGGTTTTTAACTATTTCATTTTTAGTTTGTGAAACTGGTCGCTGCGTTGCTTTCTATATGCTGCATGCTTCTACTAGGATTTGCTGATGATGTCCTAGATTTGCGATGGAGACATAAACTCCTTTTGCCTACAATCGCATCACTACCTTTGTTGATGGTTTACTACGTAACGTTCAACTCGACGACGATCATCGTCCCCAAGCCGTTCAGGCATTTGCTTGGGGTTTCCATAAATATAGGTAAGCAGATTAAAAAATCCTTTTTTTTTTAATTCGTAACTTAGTTTGTTTTTAGGTGTGTTGTATTATGTGTATATGGGGCTTTTAGCGGTTTTCTGTACAAACGCGATAAACATACTGGCGGGTGTGAACGGTCTTGAGGTTGGGCAATCCCTTGTCATCGCGGGCTCGATCGGGGTTTTCAATATTTGTGAACTAGGAGGAAGCATGTGGCGGACACACCAGTTTTCACTTTATTTCATTATACCGTTCATCGCTACATCGCTTGCACTTTTCCGACACAATTGGTAAATTTTTCTCTATAAGGGATCGAATCCGTACTTCATTTTTATCCATTTCACAGGTACCCTTCGAAGGTTTTCGTCGGAGATACATTTTGCTATTTTGCTGGGATGACTTTCGCTGTTGTCGCAATACTTGGACATTTTAGCAAAACAGTTCTGCTATTTTTCATTCCTCAAATTGCAAATTTTATCTATTCGGTTCCTCAGCTGTTTCATTTTGTACCCTGCCCTAGGCATCGGATTCCAAGGTTTGAAATTTTTAATTCTCAAAATTTTCTTATATTTATTTTGTTTTTGAACAAGGTTGAACAAGGCAAATATGCTGGAGCCGAGCAGGGTTGAGTTTGGAAAAGATGAAGTGGACACACTCGGCCTTCTTATATTAAAAATTTTCGACAAGTTGCACCTGGCGGATGTCGAGTTCAAAGAAGCGACAATATCTGTAAACAATTTGACCCTAATTAATTTTATACTTATTAAAGGAGGACCAATACACGAAATGCACCTAACTACAGTACTGCTAACGATCCAAGTAAGTTTCTTGATTTACCAATCAGTTATATAAAAAATATATAAATTAATTTTTGTTAACCTGACAAATGTCAAAACTGCCCTTAAAGCGGCCCATAGACGGTCAATATTATTTTACAATATAGATTGCACAATAATTTGACGTTGCCCCTTAACGTTCAATAATATTGTACAAAATTTTGTTTGTGATGAACTTGAATAGTTTGTTGGCGATATTGAAGTTTGTGCAATATTTTCCACTTGTTGATACTTCACAAACTAACTGATATTGCACAATAATTCCAACAGATGGTGCAATATTTTCGAGGTTGTACAATATATTTTCAACTTTTCGTCAATCATGCAATGTATTGCACAAACTTTCAATATCGTCTATACACGATCAATTAAATTGCACAACCCAAAATATTGTGCACTAATATTGATCGTCTATGGGCCGCTTAAGACATTTACAAATGCACCCTTGGTTCTTAGAAAAAAATAAACAGAAAATATTTTTTACACATTTGTCTCGACAATTATTTTTATTAACACTCCTTAGGATACTTAAATACAATTTTTTTTCTTTTGTTTTTTGTAATTTAATAACATAATTTTTATTGAGAGTAAAAAAAAAAGTTGATGTAATAAAAAACCTTATACGATGTCCAGAGAAAAATTTAACAAATCACAATAATTAACCGTACAGCAATGGTGAAAGCGGAAAATAATTTTATCTGGATTTATGCTATAAAAAGTGACAACAAATTGAAAAATAAATAATTACAGTTATTATATTGTTCATTATACAATAAAAATTACTACTATGGTTTTTGTTTTAATTAATCTTTTTTTAAATTAAAATTTAATTTAAAAAAATTAATTTAGGAGGTGGGAGGTAAACAATTTCATAATTCAACAGTATACATAAAAAAATCATTTTGATATTTTCATTCTTCTTCTCTTAAAAATATCAAAATGATAATTTTTTATGTATACTGTTGAATTATGAAATTGTTTAGCTCTCACCTCCTAAATTAATTTTTTTAAATTAAATTTTTAAAAGAAGTGCATTGATAGGAGACTTTTGTCATTGCAGAACTTACGGAGAATGTGTTTCCCATGCGCCAAATAGTTTTGATCTAACTCCAGGAAAGCGGGATACAACTAAGATCTGTTAAAAACGGCAAGATATCAAGTATATATTTTTTTTAAAGGTTTTGTGATGCTAAATTCAATACTTCAAACGGTTTTTTAATTTGAGGCAACCATTCTCAAGTTATTGGGAAAAAAAAACTATTTCCGAACACTTTGCCTTTGGAAAAACTCAATCTTCCTAAAATAATTTCTCCAAATGTCTTAGAATAACAGGATTCTCTGGATATAGCACATTAAAGCACAGTTGGATACGATTCCGATCCAATTTTCCCAACAGCAGAATCATCTCAACGTTTTCTTGTAATATACAAGATATTTTTAAGATATAGTAATTCAAACAATGAAAAAATAACTTTACTGTGATTGCTTTTAAGATAAATGTTAACTATGGATTTTTTTTTCATTAATCAAGCCTCAAAAATTAACACACCTAACCTCATAAAATTATTTGTTTTATCAAAAATTAATTCCTTCGAATTTGCATTTGTGGATTGAATTGAATTGTGATGAAATTTGTATCATATTGAACATTGTATGATCGTACTTTTGGTTTTCCTTTCCTGAAATCAGACATCTAAGGAGCATGTAATTACCATTCTTAAAAATATTGGCAGTTTTATTTTTATTTATTAATTTATTAATACTGTAAAGACATTGAATTCTTTGTGTGGGAGCCGTCTTGGATTTTTTAATATGGGTGCTGGTGTTAACCAGGGATGTGTCTTAAGTCCCATACGTTTTTCTTTGTTTGTTGACAATGTTATCTTGCTTCTAGAGTATCGTGTAATATACATATTATTCTCAGCGATATACATCATGTACGGGTCAATCAGTAATTATATTTATATATGTTTTTGTTGGTTATCTTTACCAAAGTATATTTTTATTTGTAATTGCTTAATTAATTTACTATCACAATGATAAATAAATTGGTTGAAAAAGTTGGGGTTTTTTTCTGATAAACATTCGGAAATTTTTTTTTTGCAAATAACTTGAGGACAGGTGAATTAAAAATAATTTGAATCATTGAATTCAGTGTCAAAAAACTTTAAAAAAAGTACATGAGATGAGTAACTTACCATTTGAAATAGTTAAGCCCTTATTTTTATCCTGATGCCCTGGGATATATTAGATCGAAACCTTTTTGAATTGTGAGAAACTAGACTAAATAAAAATTTACATGTTTTTCCTAACACTAATAAAAAAAATATAGGGTGGGGGATATTTTCACTCTGTACGTACTGCAGTACATTTTATAAGAATTTTGCTTCATTAATTCTCAAATCATTGGTAGTATCGATTATTTTATTTTTTTATAAGTAAGAAACATATAGAAAGTTTACAAATTGTATGTGTGTGTGTGTTTTATTTTTTCCAGATATTTTCTAGTGGACTGGCCTTCATCATCCGATACCCATTGGCATCATTTTTTTATGATGTGTAAATAAAGACTTGCCATGGTATGTACATACTACACAATATAAAAATAAAATTACTGCCAATTTTTTAAAATTTAAACCTTATTTATATTTTCCCCCAGGGGTTGATTAAAACCTCGAAATATCAAATTAAATTTATTATTTGCAATATTTATATACAAGAAGAAACAAATAATATTAATATCTGGGATCGATGTCTTGGTCTTCATCTTCTTCTTTTGTACCTTCGCCCATAACTTCTTGGACTGCTGAAGGTTCTTTAGGCTTTTGTTCCCATTGGCCTGTTGCCATGATGACCTTCTCGTCCAAGTAGTATTTGTTGTATTGAGCAATATCTTGGAAGAAGTCGTACGGGCATACTGGCTCTTCGTGCATTGGGGTCGGAGGTGGAGTGATTGAAGTATCGGACGGCGGGTATTCAAACGGCACTGGAGCCGGGGGCAGTCTCTCAGGATCATATGTCGATATCTAAGATATAATTTTAATTTATTTAAAAAATAATAACAAAAGACTGAAATTATTTCTTACCTCTCTTGCCCGCCAGATTGCCGCGACTTCTTTCGCCTCTTCTTCCTTCAGCGGATCAAGCATAGGCATAAGTTGTTTCTTGAACAGCTCAGTAGTCTCAAACAATGGGTAATTCATATGTATGTGATGTCCATGTTGCATGCAATTTGTTTTGAATGTAAAACAACCATTTCCAATTGGCTATCATAAAAAGGGACAATAAATAACAAATAAAAAACAAATAACATAAAAAACATACAAGATTTTTCTTCCAAACTCCATGGTACCGATGAGCATGTGTTATAATCTGCCCAGGTCCATCCATTTCACCGTTTCTCCAAGTGCCCATAAATTTGACAGCAAGTCCTTTGTAAGTGTACGATCCGAGTCCTTCCCTCACGCCATTCTTCCACTGGCCTTCGTATATGTCACCGTTGGCGTAGTAATAAGCACCATAGCCATGGCGGAGATCTCTCTTCCATTCGCCTAAAAGAACAATTGTAAAAACGTTTTGGTGACTTCTTTTTAAAACATACCCTCGTATCTCGTCCCATCCGGATAGTAAAAGGTGCCGATGCCTTGTTTGATCCCTTTGTGATAATGACCGTTGTACCTCGCTCCACTTTTAAACACATAAAGTCCAAGTCCGTGTCTCAAGCCTTTTCTGTACTGGCCTTCATAGTAATCTCTGTTTGGAAGAATAGCACGACCGAGGCCATGCCTTTCTTGCAGAGCATTCCTCTCACCTTCATACTCCTGGAAAATACCACTCAATCATTATGATGACCACCAATAAAATTGATTTCTTTTTTCTTTATTCTAACAGACCCACCTGAAAATATTTGTATTGGACAGTTAAAAATAAATTCCAGTGAAAAGACAGAAAAAAAAACGACCTTTGTATTAATTTATTGTTATATCTTGCTTGTAATATTTTGTCCAATAAATTTGTGGTGTAAAAATTCAAATGAAAAAAGTAAATATTGATAAAATCACATCAGGTGAAAAGTAAGAGCATATTGTCCAATAGTATTGAGTTTTTAAATTTTGCTTTTAAAGAAATGATATTGCTTTTATTAGGACTACTGTAGGTTCTTTGGATTGATAGATTTTCAGTGTTATCTATGATATTAATTTTTATTGGTGTGTTCATTCTCTTCTCCATATCATAACGTTTTAATTTTTTTATAATGCAGTCAGTATCCTTTCAAAAACGTACCCACCGTGATCTAATTTTTGTTCAGCGACGGACATAAAAGGATCGGTAATATTTAAAGGAAGACATAAAAAAAAGTTGGTTGTCGTGTAGATAAATTGATTAACTCACCCCGATGATATTTTCAGGGCCTTGCTCACCCTCGCCTGCCTCTCCGAGCAAATCCGCCATTCTTACCGATCAGTTTTTCCCTTCAGGAAATCGTGTCAGTATTTCGATTTTTAACGACAGTTGGTACAGTCATGTGATCGTTTTGAAAAAGCCCAGTTAAAGAGAGAAAATTTGTACTTTTTCCCCCCTCTTTCTTCTCGAAATTTAATTCTGCATTTTGTATGTTAGATTTAGACCCGAGTTTTGTTTATGTTTTGGTGCAGGTTTTTCTTTAGTAGTGTAAACAAAAATTCGAGTTTTCTCTTCGTGGACTTGATGATGAACTTGCAATTTGGTCGTTGCCAACACTGAAAAGGGCTAAATGCAGAAACGCGACTGACAAATCAACACAGCGAAGGAAGGCAGAATAAAATGATCGGTAACGTTCAAATTATCCAACAAAAATGGCCGCTGGTTACAATTTCAAATTTTTACAATTAGTCGTCTCCGATCATTTTTGGTCTGCTTATCCTCGTTGTTTTCATCGTCACACTCGATCTTCTTGCCATCATAGATTAATGTGCTGTTTTTTGTTTAGTCGGGTGCTTTGTTATATCGTGAAATTAAGTCTTGCGGGCTGGTGAACCTATAGTTTGGCCGTTTCCGATCATTCTGGTCTGCCAATGCTCACTTTTTTTCTATCGGCTTCTCACTACGCGTGTCAGGGTTGTAAACAGGTTGAGAGAACAAAAACACTTTTTTTCACATGTGTGGTGATTAGTGACCGTTAATCGATAATTATTCAGAAATCGTGAGACGCGGTCTGGTGGTACTCTCAACACGACACGCAAGAAGACAAACACTTTGAGCCCTGAAGATGATCTCAATAAAGATTAGTTTTTATTGTTTACTGGATATTTTTAAAGACAAATATAATATCTAGCTAAATAAAAAGGTGTGGTGATGAAGTTAGTCGATAATTATTCATGGCGAATTCATGATGTAGGTTTCAGAAAGCACTCTCAACACGACACGCAAGAATGGCATAATTACACAGAAGACAAACACTTTGAGCCCTGAAGATGATCTCAATAAAGATCGAAACGATGGCACGATAAAGAAAATGTTTTTCTGAAACCGACATCACACCAGACCGCATCTCACGATTTCTGAATAATTTTTTCACATGTTTGTCTTGAAATTTGAAAGGATTGTATCGATATTTAATTATTCTTTAACGGATAAGTTTTGGTCAGTGTATCGGGTATTAGCAAAGGTTCTGTCGATCATTATACTTATACGTTATTTAGTGTCTCCAATTCGCTTCTGTCTTCTTTGGGTCAGCTCTGTTATAATTGTGTGATTTCATGATGAAACCTACGGGACATTAATCGCACATTGGCCGTTTCCGGTCATTTGGTCCGCCTATTCTCGCTATTTTGGTCCATGTACATTTCAGGGTCAGGTTTTAAAGCAGGGTAGAACAACAGAATATGTCGTCATATATTTTCGAAAATTTGACCCCATGCACGACTTAAGCGCATAGACTGTAATATTTTTTTCATGCTTAAACGACTCGATAGACGATCAAAACTTTAAACAAACAAAAGAAAACTTTACATTACCATCCTGCCTCCATTTGGACATACGGACATGAACTTTTCCAATCTCAATCGAATCCAATCCCTTCAATCCAAAATAGTCAACGACCCTTTCTATGTATCCGATCACACCTTCTATACCGACCTAAATGTCCCTCTTGTTACCGAGCTAGCCCAATCCCGCTACAGAACGTTCCATTCCAAACTACCCCATCATCCGAACCCTTTCGTCTAAATCCTGTCATCTACCTAATAATCCAAACAGAAGACTGAAGCGTAGGTGGCGACAACCTTAACCCTTGACTTCGGTCTCCTAGGATGGAGTCCATCTCGCTCATCGTACTGATGTACTAACGGCTACCATCACTGGATGGCAGCTGTTCAAGCTTTTATGCTACTGTTATTATTGTTTACATGCAATTTACTTGCTGCGTCGAAGAATGCAGTTGTAAAATAAATAAATAAATAGAAAGTTTGAAAGGAATGTTGTCATTGCCTGTCGGCTTTTTTTCTTAATTGATTAAGACTGGGTATTTTGGTGTCTTACTATTTGCTATTTTGGTCTTTCGGTCATATACAATAATTTACTGCTTCCATTTCGCATTTGGGTGATTTCGGTCAGATGGGTATTATTGTGTGACTATTATTCCTCATGGGATCTACGGGTCGGTGTACCAGGTTGGTCGTTGGCTTCTTGTCATCTTCAGTGGTTTCAGGGTTGTAAGCAGAGTGAGACAACACAGAACACCCCTTTTGTATGTTCTTTGTTAAAATGTTGAGTGTGTCGGTATTTCCATTGCATATCGGCGACTTCGACGGATTAAGTCTGGGTGTTTTGGTGTCTTACTGACTATTTGCTATTATGATCGTTCGGTCATATGCAATAATTTACCGGCTCCATTTGGCATCTGGTGATTTCGGTCAGATGGCAATTATTGTGAAATTTCCTCTTGTGATCTGGGGGGTAGGTGAACCAGTTGGGAAGTTGGCTTCTTGCAATTTTCAGTGGTTTCAGAGTTGTAAGCAGGGTGAGACACCACAAAACACCCCTTTTATGTGTTCTTTGTTAAAATGTTGTGGATCACGAATGTCCCAAGAGCCTGCTCCTCAACCGCACTTATCAATTTTGCGCAATATATCGAAATGAAAACGAAACGAAAAGGTAAGCAAAAAGCAAAGAACGGCGTTAAACAATGGTGAGTGTTTGATGTTACGTGGTTGACAGTTGAAGTCGAAGTAACCATTCGGCCGAATAGGACTGGAAAATCCAACTTTGTTTGGATCGGAAAGTGCTTCGGCCGAACACGCCCAACACGACCGAACGAATTGGTTCTAATGGACGCGTGCTCATTCGTTTATTCGCTTTTGGATCATCCGGCCCTATTCGGCCGAAAACGGCTCCATTGGACAGCCTACCGAAGTCTGGGTGTTTTGGTGTCTTACTGACAATTTGCTATTCTGGTCTTTCAGTCACAATACTTTGCTTCCTCTATTTCGTGTCTGGGTGGTTTCGATCAGATATTAATTATTGAATTATTGTGAAATTTCCTCATGGGATCAGCGGGTAGGTGAACCAGTTGGGACGTCGGCTTCTTGCAATTTTCAGTGGTTTGTTCAGGGTTTTAAGCAGGGTGAGAAACTACAAATCACCCCTTTTATGTGTTCTTTGTTAAAATGTTGTGTGTGTCGGTATTTCCATTGTATGTCGGCGTCTTCAACGGATTAAGTCTGGGTGTTTTGGTGTCTTACAGACTATTTGCTAATCTAGTCTTTCGGTCACAATAATTTGCTGCGTGATTTCGATCAGATAGTAGTTGTTGAATTATTGAAATTATTGTAAAAAAAAAAAAAACGGATTAAGTCTGGGTGTTTTAGTCAGTTACATACATTAATCTTGAGTCTACAATTTCTGTTTAGTTTGGGTCAGCACTTAATCATTGAGTCGGAATAATGGATGATTAAGAAAAGGCAATAATAATTATTGTGATATTTGTACCTTAAGGTCTAAGGGGTGTATCCTGCAGTTTGGCCGACTGACAGGTTTTTTCTATATCGTTATGAGTTGTTTGGCTTCATCTTGGTTTCATCCGGTGATCATTATGTTCGTTCTTAGTCCTTTAATCGTCTTCTGTGTTCTCTGTATCTGTTTTTATTTTCTTCATTTTTAACCGACTTTTATCAATTATCAAACATCGGCCAAAAATAGCTTGGAAGTAGTTCATCTTTTACCACTTCCTCGTGATTCCGTTTTGTCTGTTGTTTAAGTTCAGTGTAGTTTTTATGCCGTTTTATGATTTGGTTAGTTTGTATCTCTTTCCTGATGTATCTAGTTATAATCCATTTTGTTCTTTTCTTGTTGTTACTAGTTGCGTGTGCTTTATTGTTTGTGGTTCATGTTCTCATTGAAGAACGCTGTATCGGGCAAATACATCTTATTGTTTGTAGCTGGTTACCATATTAAACATAAAAATAATTTATTTAAAAAAAATTCTTAATAAAATACATATCAATAACTCATTTTCTCTCATGTATAGTTTATTTTATATTAAGATATAACATTAATATTTTTTATTAAGATATTAAAATAGAATAATAGAAATTAAAATTCTAGAAATTAAAATAGAATTAATTCGTAAAAAAGCCCTTGAAATGAATAAATTGCGTTAAATCCTTAGTCAAATATTAATCTGTATTTTCCACTTTTGTTCATATGATTTGTACCGCTGTTTGAATAATTCTTTATTCAGTTGGTTTCCCGGCCACTTTGTTTTTCATGTGTTTATACCAATTTGTACGAAACATCTCTGGGGAAAAATCCTTTTTCCGATACTCTATCGGGAAAATGTGCTAAGTAGGCTCGATGTAGAAATTTGCGCAGTTGAAGGTGAAGAGGTACTTCAGAATAAGGAGATTTCCTTTGATCCTCGGCCTGGTCGATCTTCAGTGGTGATTAATTTAAAATAAGCGGATTTTCGTGCTACCACTCACCGAATGCAGACCCCAACCGGGCTTTAAATGCCACAATATGTCGGTACAATTAAACCTACGGTTATAAACAATTGGTCAAGATTATATCCTTCAGTTAGAGACCCAAGCCTAGCAGAATAAATCTGCCGATGTTAGGTTAAAAATGAATATTTTGAATAAATATTTTCAGCTGTACCGAAACGCCAGATGACTAAATTCAAGAAGTCATCTTCCTAATTTCTTTAACAATTGAATTGGTTGTTTTTATAGAACTAACTGTCTTCAGCAAAATGTATGTCAACTGAAGCAACGACAGTTAATTTCGTATTATCTATTAATTTTTTATTTTTTAAATCTATTAATAAACCAAACTTACGGAGAAAATCCGCACCTAATATTGCCTTTGATGTTTTGGCTATAAAGAAAGGCCATTCCATATTGAATTGGCCGGAATCCTAAATCAATGTTAAATATTTGGGTACCATAAGTCGGTATCTCGGCACCTTTAGCGGCATATAATTTGAAGTCAGTTGGCGTCTTCTGCTTAGTAACTGGAATTACTGAGACGTCCGCACCACTGTCCATAAGAAATTGTATGCCTGAGCGGCGATCCTTTACGAATAGTCTATGGTGACGGCCTGAGACATTACAGGCAGCGCACTCGGCCGTTACTGTGCCTGCCAATCGGGGTTTCCCTGATTGGTCTGATTCACTAAATTCGAAGACTTAGATTCTTTTTTCCACTTACAAGGTGGTGTACATTTTTCCGGCTTACACTATGTCCCATATCGGAAGTGACCATAACAATATTTCCCTTCTGGGTTGTAACGCTAATGCGATCTACATGAGGGGCATGAGAGGATACTGCGTTGACTTGGTTATTGTGACAGGTCATTTCCCATATCTTATCGCTGATTTCGGCCATTTTTTCTAATTCTCCATCCGTGATTGAGGTAATTCCTCTTATCTGTGTGGGTAATTTATCTAACCATAAAGTTTGTAACAATTTGTCGGAAATTTCTTTGCCTGCAAGGGCTTTCATTTTTCTTAGGAGCTGGCTAGGTTTCATATCCCCTAGATCAAGCTCGCTAACTAATTTTTTTATTTTCCTCTCTTCACTCTCTTTGAAAATTGTTAACAAGCGGTTTTTAGCTAATGTATATTTGTTTTCGTCAGTTGACGAAAC